TTATGATGCAATTTTACCACAGTGGGACTGACAGCATCATCACCTTCAGATTAAAAGTGTGGTAGAAGCACACACTGCATCAAAAAGCATGGTCTTTTTAAGCTTTGTTTGACTTAAAACTGAAAATGATTAAACCCAAGACAGCTAAATGTTGTAACATCACTTTCCCAAAGGATGTTTGTGTTCTTAACTCCTAAATCATTAATCTGTTTTTACTCTTCCTTTGTCCAGTAGCTTCATAATCAGTATGTTAAGGGAGCTCTCTGAGGGTACATCATAGCTGGTTTGTGGTACTGATAGTATCTGAAAGGGAATGCTTGTTTTGTACTATTTGTTATTAATTATCCATTTTTCAATCACTTTGTTCATGTCCCAGTATGGTTACTCTATGTGGTGTGAGGTTTTTTATGTTTTGCATGTTCTCATCAAACCATAGACCTACTGTAGCTATGTTCAGTACACACTGCTATAGATTAAAATACAAGTAGTTAAAAGTTGCTCTACTTTGCAGTAAATGGCAGCTCACACATCGTTTAATCAGAAATGGTCATTTATTTATTTACACTCTAACAGTTGAACTCCTCTAACAGTCCTTGTCCCTGTATTACCACAAGAGGGAGTTCTCAGTCTAACTATAGCAAAGCCTCTCCTGCACTGCCATCTGATAGATATTGAACAGCTACTCCTATTGTCTCAACTAAAAACAATCTCTGATATATTAGAACCGATGACATTGTGAAACATCACCCTATTTTTATGCAGTGTCATGCTGGAATTTCAAAGTAGCTTTGCACCACTGTAATGCACAGATTGTTTTCCACCTCCTTGGTATCTGGAGATTGCTCTTCCTTTTTAAATCAGAGCTAATGCCTCCTGGGATCACTACCAAAAAGCCATCTCACCTTGCTACAGCCAGTAATGGCTTCCCTTTCTCAGTCTCGGCAGGACATCACTTAGTAAAGTGCAGATTTGAGGATCATAGAGGGAGACTATTGACCTTTCAGTGAGTCCATCTCTCCTCCCCTGTGAATAGCCATGACAAGCTTGATTTCAAACTATCACAGTAAACAGAAACCTCAAATGTACTGAACACTCTGTTCTTCTCAGAGGTATTGACCAAAAAGCTTCAAGTCAGCTACACTGAATGTTTTGCATCTGGTGCAATTAACACAAGTAAAAGTCTGCAGCCATGCTTGCAGCTCTGTGCGGCCCTACTTCAGAGCTTGGAGCTAAACACTAGCATTACCATTCCAACATGCTCCCAGTGACACAGCTAAAATGCTCATGTTTAGCAGGTATAGTGCTGACCATGTTCGTTACATTATTAAACGTGTTAGCATGCTAACATTTGCTATTTAGCACTAAAAACAAAGTACAGTTGAGGCTGTTTGGAATTTAGCCATGCCCAGCAGTCCTCCAAAACACACGCAACACAGACATCTGCTGGTTCTGACTGGCACACACACACACACACACACACTCCACTGTGGTGCACAGTTAGCTTGTCCTTGAGAGCTGCATCCAGAAAAACTGGTCAGACATTTTTTTTTTTATCATTTCATTCTAGGACACAATGTTGATCACAATAATGTTTGGTGGTCACTAAAAGGTAGTTTATACTAAATACTGTATAAAGTATTGTATAGTGTCCTAACTTGTGTGTAAATCTTTATCCTCATATGAACTTTGATCGATTGAATGAACTCTGCCTCACTTCTTTTCTGCCTCCCCATTTATCTCTCACAATCAGTTGTTTAGACACCCATGTTGACAGCTCAGCAGGGTGCACAGTGTTGCAGAGGACCAGAGTGATACTAGAGCAAGAGATTCCTGAATGATGGAGTTTACTCTGTGCGTGCCACTGTAGAAAACCAATTGTCTTTAGAGATTATCTTATATGCAAAACATTTAATGCACATGTTTTGTTTTCTACAGAATTTTTTAGTAACAGTAACAGTGCGTCTCTTTTTGGCTATAAAGATTAGCTGTAAAAAAGAATGTGTCTCTGTGGTCAGACAGTGAATGTCAATGATAAGATCCTGTTACTAAAGTAAAAGTAACAATACCACACTATAAAATACTACATCCAGCATTCAAACTGTTCAGAAAATGTATATAACCTACTTTATACAGTATAGTTTATAACAATGCATCCTAATTTATAAGATAATCGTGAGTTTTGATTGTGAAATCTTAATCTGCATTGTAACTATAGCTGGCAAACAAATGTAGTGGAGTACTGTAGCTATTTCCCCCTGAAATGCAGGATAGTAGAATTGCTGGTCAGTGTGCAGTGTACATTGTACAGCCAATGTATTTCAAACACTTATAACATATAATATCTGTTATATACAGTAGAGATGAATTGTATATCATCCTTTCTTAAGGTGAACAGTTTTACTTGATGACTGTGTCACTGCTGGGCCTTGGTATTGTGGATGTTGGCACTGACAAAAATTACACCTAAATAAAGGGTTTTTAACTGCACCTGTGTTTTTCCTGCTCTAGGTCTTAACTGCTGTAAAGCAATTTAAGTGTATAACATATTTTGTGTTGTAATTGATACAAACATTGTTAAATCTGTTATGCACATATGTGCCAACTTTGAACTAGAGGAGCCAGTAAAAAGATCCTTTACCCATAAACCCACTCTCTCTTGAACAGCACTGGCAGTAAGGTGTTAATTGTGGCCAGGTGCCAAGCCAGAGCAGAAGGTTGGTCTTTATGCCAACAAATCATGAACATAAATCCTTTCATATTAGATGTTATTATGTTGCTTTGCATTCATTATTACTGCATCTGATTTATGGTTATCTTCATTCCTCACTTACATCAAGTGCAAGTACAGTAACCATCCATCCATCCATTCATTTTCGACCGCATTACTGCAGAAGCTGCACCGATCCGCCTGTCAATCTCCCATTCCATCCTTCCCTCACTCGTGAACAAAACCCCAAGATACTTGAACTCCTCCACTTGAGGCAGGAACTCTCCACCAACCTGAAGGGAACAAGCCACCCTTTTCCGACTGAGAACCATGGCCTCGGATTTGGAGGTGCTGATTCTCATCCCAGCCGCTTCACACTCGGCTGAAAACCGCCCCAGTGCACGCTGCAGGTCCTGGTTTGATGGGGCCAACAGGACAACGTCATCTGCAAAAAGCAGAGACGAGATCCTGTGGTCCCCAAACCGGACTCCCTCCGGCCCCTGGCTGCGCCTAGAAATTCTGTCCATAAAAATAATGAACAAAACAGGTAACCATGATTATTATTTATTTTCATATAAACTGTTTATTTTAAAACACTGAATAAAAAATGCTAAAATAAGAATGTTAGAATGTTGTTGTTTGTTGAACATTTATTGTTTCATACAGTAATATAATCTACTTTGGTATAAGCCCCTTTTCGTTTAGTGTTCACATCATCTCACGTCTTTGCTTTTCTTCTGAGTGACCTAGAAATCACACTAAGGGTTTCAGTTTTTTGAATTATTAAAATCCTTCCATGTTCCTGCCTATACACAGACACAGACACGTATGGAAGCAAAATCTTTGCAGTCTTATCCATCAGTAATTATCCCCCCCTGAAAGCACACACACATCTTTGTCTGTGTCTGGGAGATGTTTT